TACTTTTTTTTGTTCGGGTATGGTTTTATTATTAATATGAGCCGTGGCTTCTTTGTGAGGTATGCTATGCACGTACTGCATGGTCAAGATTGACTTTGTGTTTATATATTTGGGACATTTTGGTGAATCAGCTCCGTGATTCCCTTTACAGTTGACACATTTTGTCTGAGTGGCCCTACATTCCTCGGTTTTGTGGTTGTTACCACATTTGCCACAGATAGCTGTGCTCCTACAAAATTTTTCTAGATGTCCTATTCTCTGGCACTTTGTGCACCTTTTGACTTTGGGTATATATGAGTGAACAGACCTTCTTTCATATAGCATGTAGATAATACCCTGCGGGGTATCATCCTTTTTGAAGGTTAGTTGGACCTGTCTGTTTGGTTATGCTCCGACATGGAGATTTCAACCTTTATATTCCCTAACGTTTTAATGTTTGTCGCCAATTGGGCGTCCTCCATATTTTGGAATCCTAGTCTGGCGTTTCCGTTTGCCAGTATTCTGATGTCTGGGAGAGCTGCTGTCTCCCATTTTGTCCTAATTTCATCTCCGATTTTCGAGACTTTTGTGCCCTTGAAGGATTTCCCCTCTTTAGGCGAACATAGCACAATGTATTTGTAATCGCGCACCATCCTTGATGCGAGAGCTGGTTAGGGTTGTCTTGGTGAGTTCACCAAGGCGTTTGAGTAATTCATGGCCATAATAAATGCAATTCTTCCAAAAAATATAAATATAGGTGGTAAATAGTTGAGAAAATAAGCTAAAAATATGATAAGAATAAAATTAAGTTGAGTCAGCTATAGGACGAGAGGAATAGGGTGGGATTTGGGGAAGGAGTCGAAAAGGACGAAAGTCTGAAGCCTAACTTTGTTGAACAACTAAGATTAGCCCGCCCGCTAACTTGAGTTGTTCAGGTGACGAAATTAACTAAGTTATTTAAAACAAATAATAGTAAAGAAAAAAAAATGAAGTATAACTTACAGTATAGAGTGATCCTAATTATCCAATAATCCACTAAACACAAGATAGATGTTAACAGGGCAAACGCTAATTAACAAGTGACCATGAAAATTAATGAAAATTCCACCATTTTGAAAGAAATGCCCGCCATCAAATGAAAAATACATTTTTAAATTGATGTTTGTCAAATTCGATTTTTCGACACACTTCGCTTGCATAACCACTCTGTGTTTCAGGAGTTTAAAAATAAATTATTTATCCTACCACCACTGAAAGACACTGATTACGATATAGCGCTCTCGATAATTCCTGAAGAACGCCAAATTGAATTATGTTAATCATGTAATTTTGCCATGGCCGATGTGGAGTATGATTTTGTCTGACATATTATCATTAAACCAAACTGCATTGGTTTCTTTTGCAATTTTTTTTAGGATAAATTAAAACGTTTGGTTAAGTAAAGCTATATGACGCCCTGACGTCATAGTTTTTGTGGCGTCATAGTTGGGACCCAAAATGTAAATGAGGTGTCGTAACTTTCCCATACACATAATAATAATTATTATTATGTCTATGAACTTTCCCTATACAGGGTTTTGACAAATACTTGGGATCCAAGATGGCGTCTTTTTAGACTTGATGTCATATTTTCATGACGTCATAAGAAATTTCTGGCTTCACAGTTGTCGCAACTTTATCTATATACCGCTTTGGTTGACACCTGCCGTTTACGTCATCGAAACATTGACGTCATCGAGATGTTGACGTCATATACCCGTGAATGTTTCAATATTAATGACCTCTCACGTCGAAACGAGAATTTTGACAGTAACAATATGACAAAATATTATTTTCGAAATTAATAAAAAATACGAAACAAACTTGTTATCAAAATTAAAAGCAATGTTTCCTGAATGAAAAAATAAAATATAGACATTCATATGTTTTTAGAAAACTGTTTAGGGTTAAAGCATGTCTGCCTAATACCCATAATAATAGATAGATAAATATACGCAGGTCAAAACTTAAGAGTAAAAATTAAATTTTATTAATTTTCTTTCTTTAAATCCAGATACCCAAAATTACTGTGAGAGGCAACTAAAATCTATTCCAACTACAGAAATGTGATTTCTCACTTTTTAGCATGTAAAATTCATCAGTTAAAATATTAGGCAGGCCGGTTTTTGTCTGCCTAATCCATCGGTCTGCTTAATGGCTATATATGTGTGTTTATGGTCCGCTTAATGCCCACGTTATATATATATATATATATATATATATATATATATATATATATATATATGTACAGTATTTGCTCGAAGATAGGTATGAATAGTATTATACAAAATATATGTATAATAGTTTAAAAATAAATATTTCAAAAGTAATAAAATTATAATAAACAAAGTCTCGATTATCCAATTTTAAATCAAATTAATAAATAACCACCGTGTTTCAATCCATTAACAATCGCGACCAGCGCGATGGCCAAGAGAGTTGATGCCATGTGCATAAATATATAATTAATCATTTATATAACATTTGAGTCCAAAAGAATGACCTGCAATTGCTAATAGGCAGATTAGGTCTCCTATTAGTCAGTTGAGGTTGTTGGGTTTTTTTTGTTTGTTTATTTTTCGGAATTTGAAATTAGTTTTATTATCAAGGTTCCATTTTCGAAGTCACAATTGAACGAATTTGGTACATGGATCCTTACAATTGACCAGTACTTTCTGTAAAATTCAACATTACGATCGTTATTACCTGGTGGTTTGTTGCATGTTTGAATGATTTGTAGTCCTTCGGATGAGACGAAAAACCGAGGTCCCGTGTAAACATTGGAATGCACGTAAAAGATCCCTTGGCAGTTGGAATTCGATACAAAAGTAGGCGATAGTGCCGCAGCCCGGGCAAAATTTCCCTCATAGCACACTGTATGGCGTATGCCCGTCTTCATTAGCCCAGTATAGGAGCAGAACAGTAGGACGTTAAACCCCATTTCATTTTGAATGATTTGGGAGCAGTTTGGCAGTCAATTACTGGGTGTTTATAATTATTTATTATAAAACTAATTTGTGTTTGTATAGATCTACTAGTCTGTGAATATACAATTTTTCATCTTTTATCAAAAGTAACATCTTGTTTTATTAAAAAGGGACTATTTTTATTTGACATTTATTTACATAGGGGATTCTCTATTTAACCTTCAAAAACTATATTATTTTTAAACTTTAAACCAATATTATTTTTTAACCTTTAAAACTAGTATTATTTTAAAATTTCTTTTTTAATTTGAAACAACAAAAGGTATAAATGAATGCCTTTATATAGACGTCAAAACTTGTTTTCTAATTTGAGCTGTTGCCGAGAAATAGGCAACTTTGCATGAATCACTTTTCAAATTATTTTGCCTGTAAAATTTTAGAGTAATATAATAGATTTTCAATATTAAAACAGTTTGATACCTAATGTCACTTTTGATTGCCACAAAGCAATTTAAAATTTTCATTGCCATTGACAAACAATATATTTTTAGCTTTGAATCAAATAGTTTATCAAAATGAAGCTTTTGACAGCCGACCGCATTAATATATATTCATAGCTATTCCATTATTTATAAAAGAGCTTGATCCTTTAATTACAGTCTGAACAGCCAAATAATACACTATGTTTGAAGCACGTCTTAGCACACAGTTTTAAATTGGTACATGTGAAAAGACCGGTATTTCAATATTTTGAAACAGATTAAAAACACAGGTGGGAAATAAACCCTATCCGTTGATTACCGAACATATAGTCACTTATATTCTACATAAAGAGAGGGAGAGGGGGAGGGGGGAGAGAGGGGGAGGGAGGGAGAGAGAGAGGGGGAGAGGGAAAGAGAGAGAGGGGAGAGGGAGAGAGAGAGAGAGAGGTGAAGTTAACGTTCACTCAACAAAAACCAGGTTATGCTAGGACTAACACATGGTTCAACTTAATTTTAATAATTCGCTGAAGCAATGAGGAGTGAACCGGGGGACCTGGAATAAATTCAGCAGGTTGACCAGGCAACTGTTATAGTACTCTGTTACTTGATATAAAATCACTTCCATTTATTTTCTTGTTTACAGAATTAATCAATTCCTTTTTTTAAAAAAAGGATACTTCAATTTATATTCTTTGAAACAAAGGTAATTCAATTTATATTCTTGTAAATAAAAGATAAACCAATTTATTTGCTTCATAAAAGTGAGATAAGAGAGAGAATATGGGATCTAACGTCCACTCGACACAAAGTCATTTCGGGACTAAGCTATGGTTTTACTTTATTTCCATAATTCGCTTGCGCGTAGGGGTCTTTAGCAGTGGGAGGAAACCGGGGGACCCGGAGAAAACCCATGAGGTTGGACATGCGACCCTACTCCTTGTCACGTACAACTCGGGAATCGAAACTCTTTAAGACTTCATCCTGAAGTCAAGCTTTATTTACAGACGCTTGTCAACTTGCCGTGTGTATTGATAGTGCTATATTGTACAGACAGTGAGATATTGTATAGATAATGTATATCCTATGTGTAGTGCCTGTGACGTCACCAACCAATCAACCGGATTAAGGTCGTCATTGAAAAATTGAAAAGCGTTTTGGCGTGTCGGATACTTTAACGTTAACAGCGGACTTAATTTTAATCAGATTGGTGTGAACTTGCCGTAAAGTTGATATAGTAACCATGGGCTATACGTACATGAAATTTAGATTTCTGATCTTACGTGGTCTTTAATGGTATGTTTTCCTCAGTTCAAATGTTAATCCGACGAAATTTAATATCTAATCAGATATCCATACCAAAATATATAAAAGAAATAACCGGTAAACCTGAGTGTAACATAATATAACTATTATACACCGAACAAAGTTATCCTATACCTCGATCCATTCTTTGTGTGGTTAACGTCGAGGACATGAATACGAATGGTGTTTTGACAATGACAAACGATGGCTTTAATACGATATATAGCCATGTCCTTCAAAATATTCTTATTTTACTGTGAAGTTAAAATATCAAAAGACGTAAAGGATATAGGACAAATATCAGTCAATACAAAACATTTCAAATAATATGGATGGTAGGCCTACAAGGTGTATATTAGGTTATGGTTCGCTGAAAGAACAATGGCCTAAAGGTTATATGAATATTAGATTTAATATTGAAATGAAATGAAATGGGGTTTAACGTTCTTCTGTTCGGCTCTACAGTTTAATAGTAATCATTGACAATGGAATAGACAGACTAGGATTTGGATTAACTAAAATTATTGATGGTACTTTTTTTTTAAAATTCCGGCAAATATAACCTATACATATATATTGGGATTTTATTAGAAGATTAACTCATTTTTTATTTACAGAAGTATCTCATAATGTACGACAATTACCGAGACTTGTTAGAAATTGCATATAATAGATACATTGTGATGATTGCCCCGTGGTATTATCTGGGTAGCCTACCAACAAACGGCTCATTCAAATGATTCACAGTTGAATAAGTTTGTACAGTCAAGGTGATCTGAATACTAGTAGAATGTATGCGCTCGATACAGGTAGTCTGTATATATCAACGTCGCACTGAATGTTTAAAGGATTTCTTTCACACAAACCAAGGATATGAATTCGTTTTAATTAATTCCAATTAACCTTTCTGGATGTCACCTACACTGAAATTAAAAAAAAACAACCAACAAGATAAAACAGATGTTTATTTTTAAGCAGCGGATACCTTAGAGGTGGATTTATTAACTTTATTAAAAACTTCGTAAAATCGTCCCCAGATATAATTGTATTATTTGAAACTGATTATTATTCCTACACAATATGGATCGTTATGTGCGAGTTCTGTTTGTAGCGTATTTGATTACACTGGCATGGGTTTTATATCTGAACAGTTTGCCCCAAACCATTCATATTTACCATAACAACGATGGATTAAATATTATCGGAATTGATAATAAAGCTCCTAGGATTAAGGCTATAAATCCGGAAAAAGAGTCAAACGTGGACAATTTTGAAAATTCCTTAGATGAAGTTATATTACAAAAGCAATCACAAGTTTCTAAAAGTGAAAAAGTGAGAATAAACAACACAGACAAAATCGAAAGGAACGGACTTGATAATGAAATGGTGGCAATGATGCACCCGGGGACACCAGAAAGTGAAATAACAAACTCTAATTATTCTTCTCATAAGGCATATGATGACGTTTTATTCAATGCGACTCTGTTAGAGTTATATCATAAAAACTCAATGAAATACCGAAAAAGTGGAATTTGCTCGGGACTTTTAATGAATAATTCGCGATCCCTCGCACAGGCCAGAAAATTCTCTGCAAGTTTTGATCGTGATTTTCATCTGGATTTAAAAGTGTTTCCAACTATAACAAAGAATTGTGACCAATATAAATCGAAACGGGGCTTTATCGAAAAGCCTTCTTCAAAAGAGGAATTGGAATTTCCTCTGGCTTTTTCAATTTTGACCTACGATAATATCGAGCAGCTTGAACGAATGGTTCGTTTATTGTACACGCCACAAAATGTCTACTGCATACACGTGGATGACAAATCAAGTGAAGATTTTAAAAATGCCGTAAGGTCGATCACAAAATGTTTTTCAAATGTGTTCGTGGCGTCAAAATTAGAAACGATAGTATATGCCTCAATTAAAAGACTGCAAGCAGATGTAAACTGCATGACGGATCTGTTACAACGAAAAGAAAAATGGCGTTACTTGCTGAATTTCGCGGCTTCCGAGATGCCGTTGAAATCTAACATTGAGATGGTCCAAACACTGAAATTATTTCATGGTGCTAATGATATCCACGAAGTTTTCGCAAAACGAGTGAAACATCGATATCTCTATAAATACATCATTGTAAATAACCACATACAGAGAGGACGAGAATTTCTTGCCCCGCCGCCATTTAATCTGACAATCGTAAAAGGACAAGCGTATAATATATTCAGTCGAGAATTCGTGGAGTTTTCTATGAACAATAAAATAGCCAGACGATTTTTAAAATGGTGTGGAGATACCTACAGTCCTGATGAACATTACTGGGCCAGTCTCAATGATCTGTATCATAACCCCTTCTTAAATACTCCAGGAGGATATAAAGGTAAGCTAGTTCCTTGCGGACCAGATTGCGCTCGTCTGATTAAATATATGACTTTATCCTTTGGAATGGCTTTATGAATGGTCCTTGGCAGCTCCACTGGACACTGTATCCCAAAAGGTACGCGGGGGGGGGGGGGGCAGAATGGTTAGCGCAAAATACAAAATAGCTATATATAATTTTAATTTTAAGACAGATTGTCCTAAAACAAGCACTGAGAATATAATAGACATGTTCACAATACCCCCCCCCCCCTGCAATAACCATCAAACAAAGAACTAATAAGATTTTTAATTATGCACTAAATTGAAATACTTTTGGAAAATGAACAGCGCAACAAGCAAATGACTACAATAGACTTTTACAACATATACACAAGGTTTAAAGTCACATTTCAAATGGTTTGTGAGGCATCTAACATTCAGAGACCTAAACAACGAAATGTGCACTATTCTAGAATTTATAATTGATATAGAATCTTCTCCTGATTTTAAAAAACAAATATAAAATGAAACTTGTACATAAAAAGAGCAACCATGGAATAATATACAAGCAGGATTACAGGTTACGAAAAAATACATGAAACATAAATATCAGAAAAAATTACAATATATACTCTTCAAATAAAGAAACGCACAGCCCATTTTTTATCAATTTTTTTATTTGAACGTTGTTTCCATAAATCTTACTTGTTTTTAATGTCATTATGTAAGGATAAAAGAAATTCATTATTGGTTTTAAATGTAGGGTCACTAATTGCTGCCGAAATTTGTTTTCGCTTGATTGCACAAAGACACGTGAGTTTAACACCTTCGCAAGCCAAATCTGAGGGCTTTAAAATCCCGGAGTTTTCGGTTTCAAAATCAGTTGCACATGTAAACACTCAATGGGCCAAGTGATGCCACATCTGAACGAAGACCAACGCAACAACGCTATCGGTCGGTTACAAGCAGGTGAATACCAGACAGATATAGCCAGACTCCTGAATGTGTCCCAGAATACCATTTCTCGCCTTTGGGATGGGTACCGACAGCTAAGTTCAACACGTGAACACCCAAGCTCAGGCCAAACAAGAGTGACCCCACCTGCCCTCGATCGTCACATCCGGTTACGTTATTTGCGGAAACGGTTCACAACAGCGACCTCTACTGTAGCAGCAATTCCTGGACGGCGTAGGATCTCTGACCACACTGTCCATAGACCCCTACGTGAAACCATATTACGAGGAAGACGTCCCGTTGGAGCTGTTGTTTTGAAATACGACGACACCGTCAAATCCAACTTCAGTGGGTTCAGACAGACAGGGTATGGCCACACTGCAGCAACGCTGGAGAACAGTTTGGTTCAGCGACGAGTCGCAGTTCCTGTTGCAACTAGGCGATGGGAAAAATTACTCACATGCACACGCTGTGGTGAATTCCCATCTTCATTAGCTCAGTTGGAGCAGAAAAGTAGGACGTTAAACCCCATCTCAGTTAATTTCAAAAGCAAAGTCACTAAATCTTTAACATTTTAAATTATATTCAAAATTAAAAACACGAAATAAGATTCAATATTTGTCATTACAAATAGCTACTCTCGAAAACAAAATGATCGAATGATCACTTTGACCTGTAGAGCATCTGCTAGATGTTTTGAAGTAATCAAGGACCATAACTCTGGCAGTAATTATCTGAAATCGTTGATAATCAACAGACTTCTCCGTCTCATGACCTTAAACACTGTCTTAGCTTTATACAAACTTCAGTATTCTGTTTGATCAAATTTGTATTGAACCGGTACAATTTCACAAACATTTAGGTATTGTATTAAGTAATGACTTAATATATATATATATATATATTCTTATAGAAAGAGAATCTGAGCAATAGAATGTACTGAGAAAATTAGAATATAAATTAAATAGGGAATACCTAGAAAGGATTTATATTAGCTTTATACGACCAATTTTAGAATATTCTTCAGAAGTCTGGAACATTTGTGGAAAATTAAATTCTGATAGACTCGAAAAAGTCCAAATAGAGGCAGCAAGAATAGTGACCGGACTTCCATCCTATTGTAGTACTAGTAATTTATACAAGGAAACAGGTTGGAAACTATTGGAACAGAGAAAAAAAAATACAAACGATTATTGTGTTATTACAAAAGTAAGAATAAGCTTGCTCCTAATTTTCTAACAGAAATACTTCCGCCAACTGTATCAGACAGAACACTTTATCAATTTAGGAATAGGGACAATTTTAGCCTTGAAATTAATAAACTATCAGTTCGTTCATCAAGATTCTTACTTTCCATCTACATCAAAATTATGGAACAACATAGATGTTAATCTAAAAGAAATAACAGTAATATCAGCATTTAAACGAAAATTTAAACAGTTTGGTTTTAGTTCTGGTCGCCCCTAAGCATTATTTAAAAGACACAGGGGCAATTCATTATTACCAAATGTAGTACACTCAAATCTGATTTGTATAATGCAAATCTGATTCCAGATCCAAAATGTTTATGCGACTTCAACAACGAAACCACACTTCATTTCTTTTTTCTTACGAACTTTACGAGAGAGCGCAGAGAAATATGCATGTTGATCTCCATAGACTAAATATAGATATGACTTGTTTAAAATCAAATCTATTACTATATCATGATCAGTCTATGCCATCATACCCATTGAAGTCCTTGATTTTTAGAATATTTCATAAATTCTTAAAAGAATCTGAAACATTTTGAAATTAACAAGCTTTGTTGTTTTAACCACTGATATCTTGTAAATTGCATTCGTGTGCTTAGCCTGATTTTTTGCTTTAGCTGGCTTGATGACCTGGCGCCTGGTACGTTCGGGCATTTTTATGCGCGAACTCTTAGGGTTTTTTTTACTGGCACGCGCACAGGTACTATTTCTTTTTCTTTTAACAAGTACCCAAATCGGGGATTTCGTGCGGAGGTAGTTCGGCGGTAAACAGTCTGTGAAGTACAACATTTGCCACTCTACCTGTGTATCGCTAATTATAAACCGAATGTGTGAAGACAGTTCATACATATCACTCAAAAATTTTTCAGTACAAATTCAGTTGATTCACGCTCGATTTGCTACTAAACAAACCCATCGGTTTATTTTCTCAACAGTATGACCCGAAGTGACCGCGGATTTATTGACCTTGTATGAACTTATCCATAGCTATATCCTTACACCGAGAGAAATTATCTAGTCTCGGTGAAAAGAACCATGGTCATCTGGTAGAAAATTACTTTTGTATTTTTTGGAACGGAAAACAGTGTTTTTAGAAGCAAACTAACCTGCCGCACATGAGGAAGTCATTATACTAATAATAAAAGGCGAGACCTCTTTTTGCGGCGCAGGCTTATCACTGAGTAGTAAACCGTCCACAAACAATAATATAGGAAGCCTAGTGACAGTGTAGTAAGTGGGCTATAGACTATAGGTTTGAGTCGAGATTACTGGCTTTCAGTTTACTCTGTTTTTGCGATAACCAATTATGTGAGAAATACCATACTGACATTCGGTTTTTAAAAGTTGTACGCGAACTAAATGCGTTTGTTAGATACTGACAGAGCAGCCCCGAGTCGAACAATCGCCGCCCGAGCTGTCTTCGTCAGCTAGTTTCACAATATCGTGCAATAGGTGTATTAATGTGATTTTTAGGTTTAACCCCGCAAACAATGCCAAAATAGTGTTTTCACTGCTTACAGAAAACTGAAATTTAAAAAAAAAATTTTTTATGAGGGTGACCCTCCCACACACTCCCTATCGAGCTGCCGCTCGGTCTGCGCAGCCTCATGCCTGGCACATACTGTCAACATTGTATATTTTTCCGTTTCCGCCCTTCCCCCCCACAATATATATTTCACGGCTACGTTGCGACGGTACCAGCATACCCAGTTGTTGACACCCATTACATCACTCCTGTCTAACAAATCATAAAGCTGTGGTGTTACGGTGGAGGCATAGTATTTCACCGTAACACCACAGCCACTCTAACCATTCATAATACATCTAACTATCCCTTTACAGCACTCCCTACACATTTCCCCTCGTCCTACTTTCCCAAACGTCAACAACACATCTCATACATCCAGTTCGCTGATTAACCCTTGTACCACGTCTACTGGATGTGTATATATACGTGTGAGTGATTTAAGTGGATAAAGTACAATGACTTCTTTATGTGTGTGTATATACATGTATTCAAATTGAAAACTTTTGTCTGACTAACAATACTGGAGCATTCATCGATAATATGTGTCAGGTCAGGAACACCTCGTTTACTGTTATTAGAAGGATATATAAATTATATATACACTAGTGTTGGACACTATATACACTATATAAGTACTAAGGGAGGTGTTTCATATAAATATATCTTATCGTAATATGCTTTATGTTTAATAACTTTACGTAAAGGAGAAAACTTTATGAGTTGGAAAGTTTACGTCAATGAATAATAAATATATTTAAACCAAACTTGCCTGTGGACGTTAAGCGTTGAATTTATAAAGGATTTCATTCACACATAGTGAAAGAACCACTAAGCTACCGCGGATCCCTTTGTCACATTTATTTTTAAAGGTAATAGAACTAAGAACAATAAAGCCTGATCTTAGGGAGGGGGGGGGGGGGTGTTTTGTTTTTTTTAAAAGTTACACACTTTTTTTAAGTGCAAATTAAATATTTGATTAGTAGAAAGTTATTAAATATTAGAGCACCAAGTTTCTCTTTCAATACCAAGTGTGAAAAATGAATGCCAGGGATGGACATTGAGGGAAGCCAACAACCGAAATACGTGTTGATTTTGTAGATAAGTAAATTTAATGTTTAAAAGCTATGACTGAACGTATATTTGCGCTGGTGGGACGAAAAACGTAGGGGGGGATGACCTAGTGGTCTAGAGTGCCGTGTCGACCTCTAGCTGGCCGGTCAACTCTGGCTTGCGGCTGTGGTTTCGATCCCTGGTGTGAGCGTATGTGGCTTGGAGACAGGGGTGCCTTCTCAACCTCGTGGGTTTACTCCGGGTACTCCGGTTCCCTTCATAAAAATGAAAAATAAGACTTGTCTGCGATATCACCTTCGGTGGAACGGACGTTAAACACTAAGAAAACCGTAAAAGAGTAGGCCGTAGTGGCTGGGCAAACATTACCCCATCCAGACTTTATGGTGTATACCCATGCTTACTGAACAATATGCATTGAAAAAAACATGAAGCCAATGATGCGTCAAATGAGGTTATTAAATCCCACGATATTGTCGTTAAATACAACAAAGCCCTTATTCTCTTATATACTCGTCAAAAAATGCAAATACCTATGCAGGTTGTGATCTGATAAATACATTCGGCAAACCTCGACAGCTTATTTGAACTATTTTAAAGGTCCTGGATGAAAAATGACTGCGCCCATGGAGATTTCTGTGGAGAGTGTATTATATCAACAAACGTCAAGTTTGGCATTGGGTTTGGGGAATTACCAGGGAATTATATTAAACCAGCAGCCTTGAGACAATATCTCTGCTCTTTCGGTTATATACACTCGACAAAAGACGCCATTTTGGGACTTTTTTGTAAAAGCGGCACGTTTTCCTGTTAAAGTAAACCGGTAGCCGCATCGCAAATGTATGGGCGTAGGTACATATCAATTACTATCATACAGCCGAGGTTAGATATAGGGTACCGGAATCTGCCGAGGTTTGCCGACTGATGATAAATAGTCATGGACACTTGACATGCTTTGAGAGTATGTTCACAGATGAAGAACTTATCGCCTTAACAGAACCACTTAGCTGCACATGCGACACGCAATAGCGCCGTACACGTGGGAGGGGTTCATTGTCAAATTTGACACTTCAAGGAAGGGTTGATGAAAACTGCCGCGTGCTGGTTTATCTATCCATGTTTGCTTTCCTATCGGTTCTTGCATAAGATTTACTGTTTAGCGTATCTTTGCTTTAGTGTGTTACGTTTAATTTGATCGGGAGACGTGTCCGTCGACGTCAACCGACAACACTGCAAGAATTGGCCGTGGCACTGCAAGGAGAGTGGGTCAGATTGCCCCAAATTGTGATTGGACGGTTGATTAGGAGCATGCCACGACGAATTGCTGAATGTCTGAGGATTGGTGAAGCAATTACTCATTATTAAGACAAAAATCAAAAACGTCCATTTTCACTTTTGACGGTGTATCTCTTTGCGGGTGAAATGGGGCCGTCGGATAAGCCGCCCATATGATTTGTTTATGTTCATGTGTAGGCAATTGGCCTGTTATTAACATACACTGGTTACCTGTAATAAAATCAGCAGTGCATTTCCGCAGTTTTGTATTGTTTCTCAATATCCCCTACTTTTTTTTGGGAAGCGTATATTAATAAAGTGTCGTTTTAAAGGGCATATGGATCTATTCCTTGGAAACTTAAAATAGACGAAAAGGGGGTCTAAAATCACAAAATAATGTTATATGAATGTATATAATGTGACTTATATTTCTAAAAATTTTAAAGTGAAAAAGAAAACACTGAATGCATGTCCGCAGTCGATTTATTTTATAATTAGATTACAATTGTAGTATTGTGCTTATATGTACTTCTGGCATTTTTATATGTGTTGGTAGAATTTGATCGGTTTTGTTGATCTAAATCATAATTGTAGTTTTTAAAAAAATGAATAAACCTTCATATATAAATATTAAATGTGGCTATAACCGTTATATGAATACATCTAAAAAAAACACGATTGTGCTAATAGAAACTATATGTAATATTAAAATTATCTAAAAAATTTTATCATTTTGATGGGTACTGATCTCAAAGATATGTAAACAACGGTCTAGTATTCGTGTGTATTTTTCGGTGGCCATTTTTTATGATTTTAATCATAATTTTCGGATGAAATTCGGAATCCCCATCGCAGGATTCCGAATTCCGGCCCACACCCAGCACACCCGGCCCAGAAAGTCTATTATACCAGCCCATTCCAGACTCCAGTGATGGAGTGGCGGCCCGTTAAAGTCACCGGCCACATACAACATGATCATCATCGCTCCATGACCGGTCCAATACCCCCCCCCCACCCATAATGTTCAGCAAAAAAGTTTTTTTTAGACGAATTGGACAAAATTTATTTTTTACATTTTTTGTCTGACCGGCCCTTCGGGCGATCGATGCCCAATCCGCCCCTGCCGCTGGCATACGCTGAAGCTGAATTCAAAAATCAAGAGGGCGCTCTTTTTGGTCTTTTTGTACTTCCAACGCGCTGAACGAATATACGTCGTATAAGCTATGTTTAACGTATGAGTAACTTTTTCATAACTTATTCCCAACGTAAACATAACTTATATAAGCACATGGCATCGTGTGCCCAGCGAATTTGTAGCGTTCTTGACTTATGTGGAACTCATGCACAACGTTAGTCTAACTCCTGCCTAACTTATGCATAGCGTGTTGGAGCGTACTTCGACGCTATTTCACACACAAAACCACAAGTCATTATTGAAGTGGACGTCGATCGATCAACATGCCTCCAAAAGAAATCAAGGAAAGTTGCAGGAAGGAGCCGACCTAAGTAATCTTCATCCTTAAAACCTCCACGCTCACCCTCATTCCCATCTCCATCTGACCACCATTCTGACGATGATAGCCAATATCGCCCAGGTGTAGGACCCGATGCGTCCTCAGTAGTATCTTTGGTGGCATCTGAGGCCTTGACGTCCTCTCAAGCCCTTAACGACAAGCAGGCGTCGACCTCCTCTCAAGCTATTTGGTACTCTCGTCACAGCCTCTCAGGGTCCGCCATGATTGTAGACTTCCGCGCAGACTCATCTCTACACACGTTTCAAACACGTTCAGTAAGTTCTAAGGACGTCGGAAGTACGTTTCAAACACGTTCAGTACGTTCTAAGGGCGTCAGAAGTACGTAATTCCCTATAGGTTAGAAATAAGTTACGCGAACGCTGCTCAATTACCCGGCTGGTAGCCGACGTATGTCAACTTATGAGTAACTTACATGTAACGAGCGTGAACGCGTGCATAACCTACCTGGTATATGTTTTCTTTGTTCATTACAAATGGCGACCGAAACCGTATAGTACACGACTCGTGTACTAATTATAAAATGTTCACTGTGTCTTAAATATTGGATATTAGGATCCCATATTTCAAGACGAAATAACAACATCAATATTGATTGATTGAAACAGCAATATTGAATTCCAATTCGTGTTTTTAATTTCGAATATTATGCTAAAGATTGAATTATTGAAGGTTTAGCTTCTTTAAGTTGATGTCAATATTAATTATTAACATTATGATACTATCCAATATTTGGTTATGTTAGAAGTATAGAAATGAAACAAAGTGGTAGACTGTGGACGACCGATCGTGCTTGTTGCTATTAAAGGAGGTTCCCCAATATATACTAACAAATTAAAACAGTTTTAGACAGTTATTTCTTTCAATTATTTCAACACTCATATATTTTTTGTTCTTCCTCTTTGAGTTTTATTATTTACCTTTCGGTATCTTGGTAATCCATTGTATTTTTCTGGACACTTCTAATTCAAGATTTTAACTTCAAGACTTTTTGAAACGTAGAAAATATGTCCAAGTAACTTTCTTAATACTAAAAGATATTTTAATTTTTTAAAAATCACTAAAAATAAAAAATAGATTTTGTTTTGAAATAAAAATATATTGAAAATTAAAAAGGTTTTATTTTTTTAAATCTAAGTAAAATGAAATATAAAATCCCAGGACTGTCAAATCAGGGGTCCCCCATAACAGGGAGGTTAAAGGACAATATCGGTATAAGTCATTATAAAATATGTGATAGAACTGGTTAAATACATCCCAAATATAACTTTAACACAGAGATCATTGCTACGGGAGATGTGTAACAAGCACGTGAAGAAACGGGAAGTGACGACAAACATGACAAACACGAGTTATCCTTCTATATAACTGACTGAGTAATGAGCGATAACAGACAAACGATCGAATTTCATTTCACTGATAATTCCGTTGAAGATAAAAAGTTATGATATTGGACGGCGAGAGGGTATTTCACAAATATATATTTGTTTTAAATGAAAATCATTTTTATTTTATTTTATTTTTAAAAAAATAAAATATTTTTTACATGAAATAAAAAAAAGTATATGTTTTATGATTTTTAATAATTCAAGTATTTTTTTAGATGAAATGACGATAAAGAATTATATGGCAGCCGTGGGTCACCAATACATGTAACTAGTTAAAAAAAAGTACAATAGTCTATTGTCGAAAATCCTCGTAATTAAATGTCTGTAGGACTTTTAAACTGGCAGTTAAATATTCGTGCAGGCCTTTTAATTTCACCTTTTAGAATATGTGTGTTAAAGGACTCGGTGTTAACTTTGTTAAAACCCATCTATCTTGTATAAAATGTAAACATTGAAAACGTTCCGGCAATATGTGATTACTTATTCCACTTCTCAACGCTAGTGTAAAGGGACACAACCGATAACTTCTGAATAGTATGGAAAGCTATAGGCTAGAAATTAGTAGTCTTTATAATATAATTTTTAAACTACATCTTTTAATTTGCTCCTTTTTCTTTCTTAAATTTCAGGTAACCCTGATAAGAAGATGTACGTCACACGCCATATTAACTGGCGCCAGTCATTTGATCGTTGCTATGGAGAATACGTCAGAGGTATCTGTGTTTTCGGCTACGGTGATTTGCCTTTACTGAAACGCAAGGGTCATTTTGGAACAAACAAATTCGATTTACGAAAAGATCCCATAGCCTATTCTTGTATGGAGGAATTGTTAAGTTACAGAACACAGAATCCGACACCCCCTGATCCCAAACACTGGACAAATTTAAATTTTATTAAAGACAGCAACACCTGATAACTATCACGATGAGCACACCGCGGATTCTTCTGGACTGCAGAAATCTAATTGGTATACAGCATAGTATATAACAATTTTCACTTGCTTATAAACTGGTTACGGTTGGGGTGACCGGAAGCAGTAGCTTTATATTCAGACCAATGTAGAGGCCTTTTGTGGAAAGGTCTTCCGTTGAAACATAACTTATATTGTGTTGTGTTCAGACCAAAACCCTTCTGGACTGTAGAATATAATTGGGATACAGCATAATATATAACAATTTTCACTTGCTAATAAACTGGGGTAACCGGGAGTAGTTGTTATAAAATCAATCAAAGGTAGAGGTCATTTGTGGAAAGGAATTCCGTTGAAACAGTCCTTATTGTGTCGTGTTCAGACCAACACCCTTCTGGACTGCAGAATCTAATTGGCTTACGGCATTATATATCATAATTTTCACTTGCTTATAAACTGGTTGGTAACCGGAAGTAGTTGCTATAAAATCAATCCAAGGCAGAGGCAATTTGTGGAAAAGTATTCCGTTGAGACAGAACTTATTGTGTCATGCTCAGATCACCCTCCCCCCTTTTCTGCAGTATGAATACGAAGGAAGGGATAATTTGCTCGAAGGGTGGTGTTCCGCCTATTCGACAAACTGCCAAGGGGTACTTTTTAGCACTGCCAATTTGTAGTCGGGACCACGGCGTTAAACACAGCCTTTAAACTAGACTCTTGAAGGTGTCTACTATTTCATACAAACCAACCAACTGCGTGGGTGATTACTTGAATATACATAGATATGTAATCACGAAGGGTCATAGGAACAACATGTACACATATAGGTTAACAGATTGAACTATAAACACAAACGCTAGTGTAGCAATTTAATACAAAAAACGGGTCTACGACGATTGCGGGCGTAACAATTGTCGGCATGACAACTGCTTTCGGACATCTGCCGGCGATGAAACCTATCGGCAGTGTCATGTTATATGTGCTTTTTAGTATAGTTTACTAAATTAATGAATTATTGCACACAAGTTATTCGCAGATATATCTACAACGGAAAGTTCACTTTTATGTTCATCTTTCAAGAGTGTTTATCAATTGAAAACAGCTATACATAATTATAAAATAAACATTCCATATCTGAGCACAATTGAATAAAGAATTGTTAAGGTTAAATGAGCAGTCAACTCGCCAAAAATGTCAGTGCAATGGAGTACTTTACAACATCTTACCACCGAGTGTTCTACACCCGTTAATGAATCTTTAAAGATACATTATGGGAGATCAGATAAATGGCTGGCAGTTCCCACTATAATAGTTAAAAACTAGATAATGTAAAGGCAATTTGCTGAAAATGTCAGTCAAATTGATCCACTCTGAACCGAGATTTTAGCGATTGAATTTTCGGCCTTACCTCGATCATCATTACTAAAGTCGGTACGATAAAAAAAACATAGTCATGATTATCTATTTCATGATTAAATTATGAATGGAAGTCTAACAGCAAATCGGAACCTAATCCAATAAACATCACAGGCTAGCGATGACATCGAGAGTTGATTATGCTCTGGATAAAGTTAATTAATGTCTAATTAATAATTTCTGTTTAACTAATGTCTGGGAATTTGAGAAACGCAGACATAGTAAAAGCAAAACCAGAATATTGCTCATAATATTCACCTGTGATATATGTGATAACCTTGTGTAAGTGCTATTATAGACGATGTGTGAAGTAAAATAAAACTAAATATATATATATATATATATATATATATATATATATATATATATATCTAGTGCTATGTAATTCTAATCTTTAAGTGGCATTTAGCGATTGGGAAACACATTAATAGAACACAATTTTTATGGGTAGCAATCATTTGTTTTGTTCTGTTAATCTATCTAATTTTGTATTACTTAAAAAAAACTAACCTTTTGCTGTACATAAATGATATTCTAATAATTTAGAAGATTTGCATATTTTTTAAAAAGTACCTTGTAATCGGCGTGTCCTCCTGCTTTTCCTCGAATTCTAATTATACACGGAACCTGGAGGCATGTATGCGAACAGTATTCCCCATGTTTATTACTTTGCCATGTTTCTGTGTTAGGTAGAATGGTAATATTATTTGCTTTGAAAGAAAAAGAGGGAAATGGAGTTTAATGTCCACTCGACAAAAACTAGGTCATTTCGGGACTAACACATAGTTTTATTTTATTTCAATAATTCGCTTGTGCGTAGGGGTCTTTAGCGCAGTGGGAGGAAACTGGAGAACTCGGAGAAAATCGAAATCACGCCAGTTGATTCAATGACAGACCTTATGATACAGCACGCCAAGCTAACCATCCCCCTCCACCCCCCCCCCCCCCCACACACACACACCTATTTGGCTTTGAAGCTGGCGCACTCCTTTTCCGAGTTTGTTCTATTCGTTTTATTTAATTGCTGGACGCAAAGGATGAACCTTTAAAACTCTCCTACAGGGAACGGATAGAGCCTTGACAACCATCAAACCCTATCTATAATAGTACTAGAGAGGCTTGGAGACCCGACCGCTCCAGTCTAGAATACCTGGGGCATGTCAATGTCCCCCAACACCCTTGCAAAGGATTGGGTAGCCGACTTCAAGATAGGGCCGTCTTAACGCCTGGGTACGCTGCCTGGCCAGTTTCCCGGTGTGTTCGCGTGCTAATCTAACTGTGTTTGAGATAATAAAAGTGTCCTTGACACGTGAAAATATTGCTTTAGGAAGAGACAAAGGTTTTATCAAAGGGAAACTACTCCATATAACAAGAATACATTTCACTATTCGGTTGACCGTTACCTGTGCATCGTGTACTTGAAAAACACGTGTTGTAATATTTTAATATACAAGAGAAACGACCTTAAATATTGCACATATTTCAAATGTCAGCAAAACCTCACCTTCCTTGATGTTTTAATGGGGATGAGCTAAACCATACATTTTTGGAAACCATCAAAGTGTCTTCTAATAATTGGCATCAGCAGACTTGACTGAAAATCCGGACCAGCTTCTCGGAAAACACCAGTTCGACTGTCAGGTGCAGGGCAGAGTACAGGACCGGACCAGAAACAGCATCTTGAAACGTGCCGTAGCGCCGCTGCCCAGGCACATTTGTCCTCACGGCACACTGCAGTGCACCAGCTCGGATGAGCAGAAACGTAGGAAGTTTAACTTCATTTTATTTTATTTCCAAACTGTTGCTTCTTTGGCGTAACAGCTGTGAGTTTAACTTTGTTTTACTAATGTATTATCAATTTGCTTTATTCTTCGCGGTTCCTTTTGTTTTCATCAAAGTTCAGAATGTCTGCAATTTGAATTGAAAATTTGTTCAAATGATAATATACATCTTTTAAACTATTAAATATGTCGATCAAACATTAAAAAACTTGAAATTGAACTGGGATTTAACGTCTTACCTCTCTTCGCCAGCCGGGTGTTATGAAGACATGTACATCTCCCTCTTACAACCATCGTTCAGCACCGGGTGTTATGAGGACATTTACATCTCCCTTTATCGATCTGGAAGATTGTCTCATCGTGGTAATTCTGGCGTCTTTTGCATTTTGCTTTTAGTTGTGTTCTTTAGCCCATTAACACTATTTGTAATCCGCGGAGGCTCAATTAGTAAGACGTTAGCGGGATAACATGGATGTTCCATGTTCGATCCCTGTGTTAACCGAGAAAGTTCATAATATTGGTTTCCCCTTGCCAGTGGTACTGGAGGGAGCGAGCGAGAGATAGAGAAAGAAATAAGGATTAACATCCACTCGAGACTAACTAGGTCATTTCGGGACTAGAATGGTTTAATTTTATTTCAATAATTCGCTTGAGCGTAGGGGTCATTAGCAGTGGGAGGAAACCGGAGGACCCTGAGAAACCCAACGAGGTTGGACAGGCGACCCTACTCCTTGTTACGTACAACAAGGAATCGAAACCACGCCAGTTGACTCAATGATAGACTTTATGATTCGGCCATCCACCTCCCTAGTTACACAGTAAAGGACAAATCATGTGTGTAAACGTATACTATGCATATTCATGCGTATCATCCTTGGTAACGAAGATAACTGATTTTACAGTACACAAACAGTGATGGTCTGGACAACAATGGCTAGTCCAAAGGTACATATACACAGAACGGACTTCTTAAAACAGAATGGGGTAAGTTGATTTATAGAACGTGGTGCACACTTACAAATATTGAAGTAAGTTGTTTTATATTAACTTTAATTACAACTTTTAACTTATGTACGTATATACGCAATCAATGTAGCTTCATGTTTATCCTACCGTACAATGTTTTTTTGGTTATTACATACACCCATAGTACAATTTGCATCCTGGTTTATTTCATAAAAATTTTGTGTTTCAACACATACAAACATACATTACCATATACATACATCAAACTGCATAGAAAAATCCTTCAATGTTATCACAAATGATTACTCTAAGTTTTATAAATCAGGGTACCTACACTGAACAGAACAGATTCCACATATTACAAAGCGTATTCATAAATATGGGTTTCTATATGGCTTTGACAATTATTAAAATAGGCAGTCAGGAGTCGCTGCTTATAAATGTTAGATGTGGCTAAGAATGTTTCACAATTTGTGAAAAATACAAGCGACTGGGTCTATATCTATAGCTTAATATTTGAATTATTATTAACCAAATGTTTGACTGATGTCCATAAAATTTGACTGTAAGGACACTGACAATTAAAAAAAATCAAAACAATATTCTTTTTGTGATTGTGTCTGGTTAAAACACAGATCCTATTTCGTTTCGTTTTTATAGTTCAAAATTTCGTTTTACTTGTCTTTACTACAATAGGGTCTAGAAGAGTTGTTATTATTGACGTGTTCGGAATGGTGTCAGGGATAAGCCAATGAAACGGTCTGTTACGGCGAGCTTTAGGCGTGTTCTGCACGGAACTGTGGGTAATCCACTAGTAACATCAATGCTAATTGGTTAATCAAATGTCTGACATTATAGGGTCATAAGTCGGTTTTTTGACCCCTGACGTGACCTATAGCTTTAACGTGTCAGATCTTCATGTAGTGTAGGCCATCGAAAGTATAAAAAAAACGAAACGAAATATAGATCTGTATTTTAATCAGATTGGATATATAATTATATCAGAATCATTATTAAGGGTGCTTTTTGGGTAAGTGGCTATTTACGACAAGGCATAAACTAGGATTGTATTGTGCTGTATACGTTGGATCCACCCAAACGCCACAAACTCTGGCTACGATACTGTGTTTTATTATGTAATCCATTGTATTAATACATGTTATAACAGAAGACTTATTCTATTAACACAGATATGAAACAAGGTGATGTTATCTATTCTAGTAATACAGGTATGAGACAAGGTGATGTTATAACTTATTCTATTAATACAGGTATGAGACAAGGTGAAGTTATCTATTCTAGTAATACAGATATCTAAGGTTTAAATCACTTGGCATTAATAAATTTAAAGCGGAAATATTGAACTCGAATTTCAATGGCATTCAACGTATTCAAGATATACAAGAGAAGGCAACCCAATATCACTCAAAGCTTGCTGAAATTTTGGACTCGCTTGTTCCTCTTCAAACGAAAACATTTACTATTCGTCCCAAAACGCAGTGGTTTAATGATTCTATTTTAGAAGCCAAAAGGGACCGTAATAAGGCTGAACATCTGTGGCGGAAAACAAATCTACATGTCCATAAACAGATTTATAAATCTTTAAAAAACAATGTGAATAAATTAATTGAAGACGATCAAATTAAATTTTACTCTGATAAAATAGAAAATGGCGAAAACAGACAAAAAGACCTGTATAAAGTTGTGAATTCCTTTTTGGACCATAATGCTGAGCGTACTATTCTCCCGGACAATGATAATGACACTGAACTTGAAAATTTATTCTCTGATTTCTTTCAAATAAAAATACAGAAAATACGAACTGAACTTGATGATTTAAATAAAACTATTGGCTTTAATGCTCATGATTTTGATAAGTTAGAAAATTCTGTTTATTTAGAAAATTTTAACTTGGTTAGTGAATCTTTTGTTTTAAAGCTACTTAAATCGTCTGCTCCTAAATCTTGTTCATTAGATCCTGTTCCGACTTCTATTCTTAAGGACTGTCTAGACGAAGTTATTTCAGTTTTTACCAATATTATTAATTCTTGTATATCATCCGCTACTATTCCCAACGTTTTCAAACGAGCTTATGTTACCCCTTTAATTAAAAAGTCTACACTGGATCCTAATGTTTTTATAAATTACAGGCCTGTCTCTAACTTAAGTTTTATTTCTAAAATATTGGAGAAATGTATTGCTTCTCAGATAAAGGCCCGTCTAGATGATAACTGTTTGTATGAACCATTTCAAAGTGCTTATAAACAATTTCACAGTACCGAAACAGCTTTAACCCGGGTTTCAAATGATATTTTAATGGAAATTGATAATAGAAAATGTACATTTTTAATTTTATTAGATTTATCTGCTGCTTTCGACACGGTGGACCCTTCCATTCTTCTATATAGACTTCAATTTAAATTCGGTATTTGTGGCTCTGCATTAAATCGTTTAGAAATCTATCTTGTGGGTAGAAAACAGTGTATTTTAGTTAATTGCAAATCGTCGTCTGAATCTGTTTTGTCATCTGGGGTTCCCAAAGGTTCTGTTCTTGTGCCGGTTTTATTTATCCTCTATACGTCACCATTAGGCGATATTGTCAGAAAATATGGTGTCAGCTTTCATTTGTATGTCGATGATACTCAATTATATATTTCATTTACACCTAATTGTCCATCTTCTTTCAATTTATCAAAATTGCAACTTGAGAACTGTATTAGTGAAATTAGAAAATGGATGTCAAAGAACTTTCTAAAATTGAATGATGATAAAACCGAATATTTGTTATTAGG